CTCTGCTCGAATTGAATACAACTAGAGGAAAGAGTTTATCCTATCTGGCCATTGTGCCACGAGTAGGAAACTCCTTTCTTAGGTGTTTTAAGCCAACCAAACAGCCCCTTTGTCAGGTCATGTCTTATTTCAGTGGTATACGTGATGCATACATGACCTTGTGAAGAAAAGTGACCGCCTCAATTATTTGAGTAATGAGTAGTGACCTATTAACTCTTAAGTGACCCTAGGTCCATTAAACTAGATGGCCCGGTTAACCAGATAGCAAAGAGTTACAATCAATTTTTTGGGGGAAATAGATACATAAGGTTACATTGAAATTAATGTATTTAGAGGTATTTCGAATATGGCTATTATGCAACAATTTCAAACATGAAGATGTGAAGGGGTATATTGTAATTTTATTCTATCTTTTGTATTTTATTAAGTTCCTAACTATATTGAATGTGAAAGAAAAATTAATGATGTCGTCTTTTTCTATATACTAATATGTAGCACGTGCTTTGCACGCAATACATATTAAGTAATGATATGAGAAGAAATATTCGAATGCCAATTTATTGGCATTTATATTAATTTTCTCTCCACAATTTTGCATATATACTTGTATAACTAATAAATTGATGTTTTTTTTGTTAGACCCTAGGGGGGGTGATTAGGGTCTTATGCTAATCTAATCCTATTTTATGCCAATTAAAACTAATTAACAAGTTATCCTAGCAAGTATAAAATACAACAAGATATGTGAGATAGGATAAGTGATATACACAAGGGTAAACAAAATAAACAAGATAGTGGATGATATAAATAATGAGCAACGGACAATGGCGACAAGAAATATAAACATAAGAGTAAGTGCGCCAAAGCAAACTCAAACACACGATATGATCACGGAGTTCGGACCTTCCATCCTACGTCTCCGCTCCCCACTCCCAGCGAGAAATCCACTATCACAACCGGATTTTTTATACTCACCCGAATAACGTTTACACCGACACACTCGGTTTTCTAGTTCACCGAAAACTTTACAACTCACACATTTACAAATACACTTCACACCCTCTAAGTGTTGGTCTAGCCCGTGTCCTCCTCCTCAAGTTTTCGGATACAACATCTCCCTAGGTTCATCAACCGATACCACTCCTCTTGGATTCGACCCCGTCTCTCACCACACACTCCTCTCAGTGTACTCGGTTTTCTAGCTTACCGAAAACTTTACAACACTCATAATATAACAACAAATTTGTTCTCTACAATAGATGAGAACTCAATGTAGGCTCACTCTCAATTGTTACAAATCCCCACAACCCAAATTATCTAAGTATGAAAATACAATAAGCTCAATGGTTGTGTGTATAAGCAATGAGAAAATCAATCATAAACTTAATGTAAGCCCTAGCTTGATGAAAATGATAAACAACAAATAATTAAAACAAAACTAGTATTGAGTTTATAAATTCTTCTCTGAAGAATAAGATGAAGAGATGGATTAAAATGAAGCCCAAACAATGTAGATGATCTCCTACACTTGTGAAAACTTCTTCACAAACCAAAAACCAAAACTAAACAAAACTTAAACCATTGTTAAACTTTCTTAAAATATTCTCTTAGATTAATTAGAACTGAGGATATGTGGGGGTATTTATAGGAACCCCAAAGCCAAGAGAAAACAAGGCAAAAAGACCAAAAACCCAAAAACAGTACAGTCTGAAAATATAGCCGTTACAATGTTATGAGTCGACTTAGTACTGTTCATGAGTCGACTCATAAGTAGCCGTTACAGGCTAAAAATCAACTTATGGGTCGACTCATAAAATTCATGAGTCGACTCATCATGCATGGGTCGACTCATGAAGTCATGGGTCGACTCAGCAAAAACAAAACACACTTTCCAGCACAGTTTGTGAGTCAACTTATGACAGACATGAGTCAACTCAACCTGATGGGTCGACTCATGATGTTATGAGTCGACTCGTCTGAAACAAAATGTAAACTACACAACAGTTTATGAGTCGACTCAACACTATTCATGAGTCGACTCAAGACATGCACACTGTCTATCTTTTAAGCAGAAATCTGATTTTCTAACCTCTTTTAAAAATAGCAAATAAAATCAGAAAACTGTAAAACTTTGGGAAATGATTATAAACATGATAATACACATGTTACAAAAACTTGTTTCAAAAATCATCTCCCATTTGTAAAATATCATCATTTTGTAAATATGTCCAAAACATGAAAACATGAGATACTTGAATTTTAATGTTTTGACATAAACCAAGTTTTAAAACTTTGTAAAATGATTTTATAGACTTGATAAAAAGTATAAACTATAGTTGTTAAGTTTATAAACCATATAAACCAAAAACACAATATTTTTCTAAATACAATATAATATGAAACATATAAAAGTATATATGAGGATATATATTGTTTCATATCTATATAGCTAAACCAAAACATATATGTATATATATATATATAAGTATATATATACAAAAACCAAAACGTGTATGTGTGTATATAATTAAGCTTGAAGTATTTAACACACATAATAGAAAATCTAAACTAATATACCAAGCGATGATCTTGATCTTCAATAAGCTCTTCTTGGTAAACTTGCGGATGAAGCTTGAACTTGGATCTTCAACTTGAAATGCAAGGCTTCACTCCACTATTCTGCCAACCTCCATTGGATTTGATCGTGAATGCTCGATTCTATCCATCTCCAACATATTGTTTGTCTAGAATAAATATAAAACACAAATACTAGACAAACAATATTAGATGTAAATTGTTTGTAAATCATCATCAAAACAAGAAGACCAACATTTTTCGTACGTCGGAGGTGAACTCGGTCGTAAATCTATTCGTTCCTCCAAAGAAAAGTAATATAATTTTCTCTCTCAATTATCACATGTGAAATCTTATTGATTGCGAGATATCTTGGTTACTATAATCGAGGGACTAACTCCACTATCAAAATTCTCACTTCCTCCATTTTTTTCTTTTGATTTTTTAGTGTTTTTTTTTGTGCATTTGAGCATCCATATATAGTATAATTTTATGTAACTCTTGAGATCCAAGTAGAATGTTTATGGAAGTAGATTAGTCGTCGAATAATTAGTGCATAATTAATTAATAGAATTTGATTAGTTAGTGAGAGAAGATACATGAATGCTTTGATTATGGGTTCATTTCTCACTACTATTCATATTAAGTCCATTATTAGTAGGTTTAGAAGGATAGATGTCATAAATTACTTTGTTAGTGGGATCTAATTATTATATTGCAATAGTTTTTTATGAAAAAAATATTAAGATGCATCCAAACTAAACTAAAAATCCAGAAGCATAACAAAAGAATGTGGATAAATGTCGTTCCTTTCAGACTACAAAATATTGTGTAAAAATGGTGGTGAGTATTCGAACCATACCACAAAATCATCAATTTTATTAGCTCTTTGGACCAATGCATGAGCAATTACATTCCTCGTTTGATGAACTACCTAAAAATCTCATTCCTCAAGTTATGTGCAACATCGCTGAATATCATCCACTAAGTGTTTGAAAGTCGAGTGTTGCCCTGCTTCATTTTGGATATCACTAATTACCACCTCCATATCTTCTTTGAAAATTACATTTTCACATCCAGTGTCAAGAGCAAATGTAATAGCTTCTCACACCGCTTGGTATTCCGGATGCTTAGAACTACATCGTATCCAAATATTATTATAGGTATATCGTAATAGTTAGTAATATAGATTATGATAATTTTATATGCTGTTTTTAGACTATGTACACTAAGAGGTATATCATATCCAAATACTAACATTTGTATTAGTATTTCTCTCCACAAATTTTTTATATATCGAACACACATCTTAATATATTGTAGTATTAGATTAGATCTTAGATTTTTAATTAAATATTAAATTATCTTAAATTACAATACAATTTATAAGTATGAGTTATGATATTATTATCTTAAATATTAAAATTGTATATTTATTGTATAATACCTAATATTTAAAGTGAAATATTTATCTTATTTAACATAAGACTAACATGGTAAAAGTTTATGATATATATTACTTCTTATGTTTATTGCAAGAATAATTATAGTGTAACAAATAGAATGAATTAAATAAAATTTGAGGAACATGATTAAAGTTTATAATATATATTTAGTTTTTAATATTAGTTCTTATGTTTATTGCAAGAATAATTATAGTGTAATAAATATAATGAATTAAACAAATTTCAATGCATTATTAGAAATTATTAAATTTTGGAAGGGTAAAAGAAGCGATCAAAAGTTTTAAGACCCCAATCCTCTTTCATAAATAGTATGTGTAGATTGTGACCCTACTATTATGAATCCCAACGACTATACCTAAATCTTATTATTTGCAAAATTACCCTAAATTCTTTCTTATTGGGTTTTTTGAATAATGTTGTTTTCTAATTATGGCATTGTATAAATTTCCTAATAGTTTTCAAAATATTTGCGCTATTTTCCCATTTGGAATCTACAACTATTAAGTGCGAGGGGTATGACAGCTCAATACGAGAGGATTGAGGGGTAATTTTACAAATATCAAGATTTAAAGGGGAGGTTTGAAAACGTAGAAGATGTGAGGGGTACGTATGCAAAAACGCCAACATTGTTCCTATTGGGCCCACAGTTAAAAGCCCACTATTTACGAAATTATAGGAGGCGAGTACGGAACCATTAGAGCTTAAATTATCGGAACCGCTCGGGTTCTTGTTCACGATCATCCCCCCTCTCCCCTCCCGCTCCCCTCTTCTTGGCATCATGCCGCAATTTCTCAACCGCTCTCGCGCCGGCGTCCAAACTCAAAAAACCCCTCAGTTGATCCAGAAAATTACGGAGATAAGCCCTCAACTCTCTCTCCAGCGCGCAGCAGCAGCGGCGGAGGATCTCAGCTAGGGCTTCGATCCGAGGAGGAGAGGAGGAGGGCGAGATCAACGACGGCAGCAAAACTGCTCAGTTGAATGCGATCTTTAACGGGTCCGTTACCCGAACTTCTTCGCAAAGGACTCCCAAACCCTACCCAGTAAAGCCCCCCCCCCCGCCCAAAAATATTTCAGAATAATAAAAAGAATTTATTCTTCTCTCATGTGAGAGTTTCTTATTCAGTTTTCAAAAAAAAAAAAAAAAGAAAAAAAAAGAAAGAAAAATCTTCACGTTTCTTCCTATTTGCAGATTAGTGGCATTGCATGATTGTTATTTAGAAATATGAATATTTGTGGACCTAATATGAAGTTGAGAAGTAATTTAGGGTTTATTAGGGTCTAAAACAGCCTGATAGACTTGGAGATGTAAATTATGAAGAATTGGGGGCCATGATGTACAAATAATCAAGCCCATCACTTCCAAAATCATTCTTTACATTCAAAACACCCGACCCTTTATTGTAGCACTTTAACTACTGTCATAGCAACTTGGATCGAATTATAGTTTGTGTCTGTTTACCATACTTTATAACTAATGAGCTGGGGTTCAGAAGAATGGGTTTAAAATCTGAAAGCCAAAAAGAAAATAAAACTCTTCATCAGTCTCCATTCTCCAAATTTGTGGATTTATTGGTTTGTTTCATTTTTTTAGGGCCTTTGACAAGTTCAGATTTGTCCAATTCTGGTAATGGACCTCAGCTCAGAGTTGCTTACCAGGTATGGAACTTTAACAATTTTGATTAGGGCATTGTTAAGCAATTAGTCATCGGTAAGCTCTTTTTAATATAATTTTTCTGTTGATTTTTTGGGATTTTTAGGGTCTTCCTGGTGCTTATAGTGAATCTGCAGCAGCAAAGGCGTACCCGAACTGTGAGGCGGTTCCCTGCGAACAGTTTGAAAGTGCCTTTGATGTGAGTTTTGTCTTTTCCCCCCGCATTTATTATTATTGTAACAAAAGTTAGTTAAATTAGTGGTAATAATTTTGTTACTGATTAAACGTATTGTTTCTCTTAGACTAACACTTGTTGTGTAAAGCATGTGCATGCTTTGCTAGATTCAAGCTCGTTTATCTATATAAATGAAATGGTTAATTCTTATTACCCCCTAAATTCAGAATTGGGTAAAAAAATTTTTTTACCCTTAGGGTGTCTATCTGCAAAATAAATTCCTTTCTCTCAATACTTGTTCTCATATTCCGAACATCGTAACCAATAATATTAGTTAGGAAACTGAACTTTTATACATTCATTATCATTCACCTAATTATCAGTATCCCAAAATTCACAATATCTTTCCTCTAAGACTGCTATGCTGGGAATTCATTCATCAGATCCATATTTCACCACATTAAAAAATCAACATAAAGAGATTCAAAAGAAATCCCAATCACCTTTATACATAATTCAAAACTTTGTTATATCCTTGATCCAATTGGAAAGAGTCATGAATTATGAAATAATTATGAACTTGATTCTTTTGGTTGTCTGTTAAATCAGATCTCTCCATTTTCAAATTGTGTGCATTAAAAGCCGGTTTGTTGTCAGCTTCAACATGCCTGATCTACAACATTCAATTTGTTCAACTAGGTTATTTTTTCCTCTCTTTTCATCTTTTGTGTTTGTGTAAAAGTTTAAAAGTTTATCCCTTTGCTGAGTGCAGGCTGTTGAACGTTGGCTTGTTGATCGTGCAGTGCTACCAATAGAAAATTCATTAGGTGGTAGCATACATCGCAATTATGACCTTTTACTTCGCCATAAATTACATATTGTTGGTGAAGTGAAATATGCAGTACGACATTGTTTACTAGCCAACTATGGTGTGAAATTACAAGACCTGAAAAGAGTTCTCAGTCATCCACAAGTATATTTTAATCACACTATATTATTTATTTAAGTTGAAAATACTTTAGTTTTTAAGCATTGCTTCTTTCTTAATGCCAAAATTTTCAGGCTCTTGCCCAGTGTGAGCACACACTAACGAAGTTGGGAGTTGTTAGAGAAGCTGTTGATGATACAGCAGGTGCAGCACAGGTAAGATTCTAAAATTTAGTGCTATGATATACTCCTCTTTTGTCCCTATATGGAGAAACGTGTAAACAGGGGGAAAATAAAATAAAAAAGTAACACACATCAGCTGTCATCTGCTTTCTTATTAATGTGACTGTGTCATGGCATTCTCTGGTTGTTTGACTAATGCATGAAATAATTATTGTATCAAATAGATATGCAATCTCTTCCAATTGATGCCTCATGCTGCTTATAGTGCACCTCTCTGCATGTTAATATACCTAACATGTGTCCTGTGTAGTTTGTTGCTTCCAACAAGCTTCAAGATGCAGGGGCAGTTGCAAGTGCATTAGCCGCTGAGATCTATGATCTGAATATTCTTGCCAATGATATTCAGGTATATCTAATTTCTTAATCACTTGGTGGTAATTAGTTGCATCATTACCTGAATACTTCACTCCCTTCTTCAGGATGATACTGATAATGTAACTCGCTTCTTAATGCTTGCACGAGAACCCATTATTCCAGGCATTGATAGACCGTTCAAGGTAAATTAGCTATACATTATATAATAAATCAAAGGCCATTTGTTGGAAACAACAAGCTTATCGTTGGTTCATTCCAGACAAGCATAGTTTTCTCCTTAGAAGAAGGGCCTGGTGTTCTTTTCAAGGCACTAGCTGTTTTTGCCATGAGAGAGATCAACCTCACAAAGGTATATTTCAGTAGCTTTTGACATTGTATATGATAATGTGTTATTTTTTGGTAGATAGCGTGGCTTAACAATTTTGTTAACTTTTTTTTTTGTCTTTACAATAGATCGAAAGTCGACCTCGGAATAAAAAGCCCTTCCGTATAGCTGACGAAGGAGTCAATGGGCCTCTAAAGTAACTTCGATGCCCCCACACTAGTATTATCTGCATGTCGTTTATAAGAGATAACCTCATTATATATCAGCTGTTCTTGTTGGTCTGACGTCATTTTTAAAATAATATTGACTAGGTACTTTGATTATCTCTTCTATGTTGATTTTGAAGCATCAATGGCTTCACAAAATGCTCAGAACGACTAGGTACTTTGATTATCTCTTCTATGTTGATTTTGAAGCATCAATGGCTTCACAAAATGCTCAGAATGCCCTTAGGCACCTTAAGGTATTTTTATGTTGATTTTGAAGCATCAATGGCTTCACAAAATGCTCAGAATGCCCTTAGGCACCTTAAGGTATTTTTGGCTTTTGAGAAACCAGAAGGCTAATGAGGATTTCAATTGCTAAGGTTTTCCCCACCTCCTTCTTTTGACAGGAATTTGCAACATTCTTGAGAGTTCTAGGAAGCTATCCAATGGATATAAGCCAGACATGAAGATATTTGCAGGCATATCAAAGCAGTGGGACCTACTGTTGATCGAGTATGTCAGTTGTCTATTCGAATCCCCTCACCCTTGCTCGTTCTCATGAAGGACCTATATTTTGTGCCAATTTCTGGCTACTTTATCATTTCAACTTATGACATGTATGCGCATTAGTGCTATAATGTGTTACTGAAAACTGGTTCTGAGACGTAAATTGGAGAACAAATGCCTATCTTTTCATGTTATATGTCCACATCATCTGTTCTCAACTGCTCCACCAGCATATTTGTTTGTTCATCTTTCTTAACTTAATTTGGTATGGAATATTGTTCAACCTTGAGAGTGAGATACTTCTATACTATTTATAACTTGGTGAAGGCAGAAGGTTTCGTGTGACAATGCTGTCATATCCTTGATATGCTGGATGTATGCTACCTAGTCAATATTTTGGAATATGAATGTATCTGATTGTCAAAAGACATGCAAGGAACCAATATTATATTGAAAAGTTGAATCAATATCAAGTTTTCTAGAAAGACAGTTTTCTCAATTTACACTGATTCTCTAAAATTATTGTTGTTCTGATGTATGGACCGTATGGTTCAAGGCAAGATGGTATCCTAACTGAAGTGAGACACATTCTTTTTTGTTGCATATTCTTTGCAGATTCTAACGAAATACACTCTCTACTGCAGATGAGAGGAATATTAGCATTTTTAAGGAGTAATGGCAGATTGGCGTTTATGAATACTATTATAACAGTAGGTAACCCTTAGGAAGTAGACCTGTATTTTTAGCGATAGCACAACTGTACAAGAGAGAAGGAAGAAAGGGAGTGGCGTATTCTATTGTGTACTTATATCTGTGTCATTTAATGTAGAGTTTGATCATTATCTTGACAGGTTCAGTTTTTTCATTCTTGCAAGAAATCGACAAAGTGACTTCGTTTGAATTTCAGTTTAAACACGAACATATGAAAATTCCCGCTCGAATAACTTGGACTGTTGGGCAGAGAAAAATTTCTGAGATAGTTGACAATATGAATCTTTAAACATTTGACAAGCTTGTTAAAATTCGTAGTGTGAGCATGTTCAAATTTACATTCAGATACAAATTTGACACAAACTTCCCTGTAAATTGAGTTGAGTTGCAAGTCTGAAAAACTTGCTAGGTTATTTGGCAGTTTTAATAATATTTAATGTCAATACTATCTTACTGCCCGGCATGTTTACCCTCAATAAAAACCAAGCTCATTATAATTTATTGTGGTTAAAGCATATCCATCTATTAATTGCCTGTTGTAGTTTTACTTTTATTTTGCTTGCAGAGAGTGAAGATGGAAAGCTGCATGCAATTGTTAAGAAAAGGATATGTTACAGCATTTGAAATTTTGAATGGATCATATAGTTAGGTCAGAGCAGCAGAGGGACGTCAATTATCCAGAATCATATATTTGGTTTGGAATTTTGTCTTTTTTGCTTCTAAATGTACAGCACCTTTGCAGAATGAAGAAGGAATGGTCCTTTTATTTTTTGGGTGCCCCCAGGTATCAAGTACTTGGCTCTTGTTTTTTTTTTAACCAATTATTGGCTCATTAATTATAAGAATCATGCATGTTTCTTTCTTTCGACCTTATTTTTGCGGTAACTGAAAAGAAAATGGTAATGACATCAAAGAACAGAGAAAAAAAGGTTCATCTTCTGCTAATGGTGTCGCTGGTTCACTGAATCAGTATAACGTACTCCAAGAAAAAAAAAAAAACTGGGGCGTTGTTCTTATGCCGTCGTGTATGCTCTAATGTTATGCATATGAGCCGCCAAACCCGGTAGTATGAATTTCTGGAGATGTTGAACACGGATGGAGTTCTCCCTATTTACCGTGGCTCGATGTCAGGTTGTTGATTCTCTTTTTAGACATATGCCTCTGGACGACTGAATCTTAGTGCTTTAAGTTCTGCAATGTAGCCAAAGTGAAGACTTGTTTTGATAGTATACTTGAACTCCTCGTTCATTTTGGTTGCTAAATCTGGAAAAAGTTCGGCATAAATGCATAAGTTGCACAACTGATCACCTTTCATTTTTTTAACACAAAATCACCTCATAAGTTGGTTTAGCTTTCAATCAACCATCATCTCAGAGTAATTCCGATTCAACTTTTATCCGAAACGCCCAACATCTCCCTTCTCCTTCCTCACCTACCCTAACTACCCCACGCACCTTCTTCCTCTTCCCTTCTCCTTCATCTTCGCCGTCGTCCTCCGTGCAAACCACAGTTGAGATCAGAGAGGAGAAGAGAGGAGGGTGAGATGAGAAGAAAGAGAAAGGAACGAGAGAAGGTGGAAGAGGAGGGAAGAAGGTGAAAGTCAGATGGAGGAGAAAGGAGGAGGGAGAAGATGCGGTGGAGGATAGAGATGAGGATAAATGGAGGAAGAATGATCTGGGTGGAGAAGGAGGGCGGAAATGGGAGGAGGATGGAGGTGGGGTGGATGAGAAGGGAGGGAGAATGAGGAGGGTATTTGAGAATTAAAAACTAAATCCACTCGTAAGATGATTTCTGTATAAAAAAACTCGAAAGGTGATTTCTATCAATTTGACGTGATTTAAATGTGGTTTTTGCGAGGGAAAAAAAACCCTTAACAATATATAGTTTCAACCTGCTTCAAGGATAATACATAGAAATTTATACGTACTTTTTAGCTCCTGAGGAAAACTGCTGACCTATTCTGTGACCATCTAAAGGGCAACTTATACGTACTTTTTAGCTCCTGAGGAAAACTGCTGACCTATAAGTGGACAATATATTGCCAAAGAGTTATGCATCAAAAATTCATTAATTACAGTACTGGAAAACTAATGGAATCATTTCTTTAAGGGGAAAAAAGAAAACTCTCGTTTTCTTCCCAAATCTAACCGTGATTATATTTACTTAAAGAATAGCTTGAACACACATTGCTTGCTCACTTCATTTAATTTTCCAACGGAAGTCTTTCTTCGAATATTCGCTCCCTCGCCATCTTTTTATACTGGAGGTGACGGCGACCCCCAGCGTGTTGAGTCGTTCTGGGCTTCTTCATCGGGCCCAAACGCTTGTGAACTGGAGCTTTGCCTCTCTCGTCGGGAATTGGACCGAGGCGCTCCAAGGCTGGCTTTCTCCTTCGGGAGGATTCTGCATGATCTCCCGGAGTAGCTATGGGAATTCTCAGCGACTTAGCTTGGTTCGCCGGAGGTTGAATTTTGGTTGGAGGCTGCAGTTGCTGCTTTTTGGTCTGAACCGCCGCTTCAGACTTCGGCCTCCAAACTTTGCGAGTTGGTGGCGGCTTCTTGGCTACCTCTTTCTGCAGCTCTCTACGGGCTTCTTCAGCTTGAGCCCGTGCCTGCGCTGATAGTGCGCGGCGCTTGCGAATGCGCTCCTCCAGCGTCGATCGGTTCCATTTGACACGGACCCATTCCATTGTTGGCGGCTTGGAGAAACCACCATTCGTCGATTGTTGAGGCTGCTTGCCTCTTTTGTTCTTCAGATTGACGTTGTAGCGGATCCCGTCAACTGACTCCATGGTCTTTGCGAATCGTTTCGCAAGGCGTTGACGTTGCTTAATTACAGTACTGGAAAACTAATGGAATCATTTCTTTAAGGGGAAAAAAGAAAACTCTCGTTTTCTTCCCAAATCTAACCGTGATTATATTTACTTAAAGAATAGCTTGAACACACATTGCTTGCTCACTTCATTTAATTTTCCAACGGAAGTCTTTCTTCGAATATTCGCTCCCTCGCCATCTTTGCCTGCAAAATATATTCCGAAGTTTTTTCACCTTTAAATGGAAATATAAGTCGCTAAAATATTCTAGTGAACTACTCTGCAGGGCGTCAATATCCCCGCTTTAACTATTGTTGTTAAAATAGAGAGGTCATAAATATGTGATATTACTATTACATGAATTAGACAAATAATAAGGGTTTAGATATGCAATTTTCAAACTCAAAATAGCTTTGAACACTAAAAGCTGGCTTTTTAGGCCAAGAATAATCTCCTAGTGTTTTAAAATCAAGCTTAGTTCTTCGAGTTCGATTATGTATGAACTTCAAGATTAAGTATGTAGCTTCATAGATTTCCCACATTTCCATTATTTTTTTAAAAAATTAGCCCTTATTGATAGCCAACTAAACATTTTAAAGCTTACATGAGCTAGATTTGGAGCCCTGCTGCAAGAAAAATATTTGAGTAATTAATGCTACCTGTATTATACTTCAAGATGCAAGCATGTCAGATCCTTCCACGTCTTTATTTAGATGTTTGTATCTTTTAGTACCAAAGTAGTATATTCTGCAGTAACATTAATGTGGCATATTTTCCTAAGAACTCTGGTAACAATTTTTCAGCAATAGAGATGCATTCCAAATTTACCATATAGAGAGTGCGTGAGAATGATAATTGTTAAAAAAAAAATTTGTTAGATTGTTTTGTTAGTGGGCATGTCTAGTGGCGGAGCAAGGAATTTTGGTAAAGGGGTCCGAAAAATAATTAAACATGACAACATATAATTTTTTGGCACAGTTGATTAGCATATTGATCATTATGTAACAAGACTTTCAAATTATATTTTCACTTAGAATATAATGTTTAAAATAAAATTCTTCTTGTCCTCAATTTTTGAAACTGTTTTATTATATCTTCCTCATTAATCATAAACATATCTATAGGCACTTGAATTCCATGCTTAGTCTACCAACCACAAAATTATCTTCCATATTCGAGATCACCATCTCATGCAAATTATAATAATTGCGAGAAAGAAACGAGCAATTTCTTTTTTGTTTGAGAATTTTACACTTTAGCCTTTATAGTTTAGAAAATTATTTTATGTTAATAGCTTATTGCACTTACATACCTTATAGTTTCCTCTCGCATTTATATACCCTCGATTGTTTTTGGCAGCACTTGTATACCCTAAAGCTTTTAATACTCGCACTTATATATCCTCACTTGTTTTTGGTAGCATTTATACACCCTAAAGTTTTTAAAACGTGCACTTTGCACTTAAATATCCTTAGTTATGCAAACGCAAGAATTTCCCCTAGAAAATTCTCCTGTGATACTCACATGTTTTTGCCAGATTTTAAGTTAAACATGTCTAGATATTATTTTAAAATAGAATTATGATAGTTTGAATAGTAAATTTTAATACAAAGTGCTAAAAAGTTCTAAAACTAGTATGTATAGTGTTGCACAAGAACTTTCGGGGAAAAAATTCCTCATTTGCGTAACCGAGGGTATTTAATTGCAAGTTTTAAAAAAAAATTAGGACATGTAAGTGCTGTCAAAAACAAGTGAGGGCATGAATGTGCAAGTTCTAAGAACTTCAGGTTATATAAGTGTTACCAAAAATAATTGAAGGTATATAAGTGCAAAGCAGGAAACTATAGAGTATTTAAGTGCAAATATTAATACTCTTTTTTCAGTCACCCAAGAGGGAACAGGACCTGTTAGGCCCTATATGGTTCAGCCCCGGGGCGTATCCATATACCAGTTTAGTGGTTGTTCAGTGTTCGTGATATATCTTGTATCTCAAGTTTACATCCTTTGTGATCCAAGATTCCCGTTTCTCTATTTAAAGAGGAAATACACCAAATAGTTTAATAACTATTTGGGTGTCTTCTCTCTGATGTGGTATCAGAGCGTAGCTGATCCTATCCTTGTCCTGAGCACACGACCTAGTCGTTGCATGACTGCTCATCTCATTCATTCTCATCCTAGTACTAACTTGCCGGCTCTGACGCTTTGAATGATGATGAGTGGTGTGCGCTAAATGCATCTTCAGCCCTCTAAATTGCAACGATCCCGACTGACCTATATGAGTGCTTGGATGAGGAAGTCTCCTATTCTGAATGAGGTAAGGGTAGGTTCGACCGAAGCAGCCTTTATTTTCTCTCCCAGTCTTTCAACTCTTGCTGCGGAGTTAGCATTCACGACAAGAGAAATAGTAGTAGTTTAACACTAGATCGAAGCTTCAACTCTTGCTGCGGAGTTAGCATTCACGACAAGAGAAATAGTAGTAGTTTAACACTAGATCGAAGCGGCGGCTAGAAGAATGCAATGCCTCACCGTTCAGGAAGAACAGGATGAGCTGGCGGTAGCGCTTTGCGTGAGTAATAAAAAGTTCCCTATGGAGTGTACGCTTTCAGTTAAGTGAAGGGATAGACCAAACCAGCTCACTGACCCCTCTGAGTTGATACGGAAAGCATGCAAAATTCTTTTCTTACGTATTGAATATAACATCCATGTCTTTCTTGTTCCACTAGCGGAATAACCGCAGTGACCCCCCTCCACTTCATGCCTTTGACAGAACGGAGACGAGCATGTCTTGACTCCAGAAGTCCGAAGGAAATGGACACTCGACTTTGATGGGTCCGCAGCTGCTGGATTTAGCTTGGTATTCATCACACTTCCCCCAACTCGATGAAAAAAAAAACAAATTGGATAGCAGGTGACTCCTATCCCTGGTTAGCGCTAGCACTCTTTCTAGGAAGGAATCCTAATTTCATTCTCTTAGCTCAGAGATATTGTCGATTGAATACCTGGAAAGATCATATTAGGATAAGGCGAAAGAGAGATTTTCACTAACAGAGGAAGCAGGACATAGAAGTAACGGTCGTGGGTGGCCAAGAGGGCCTACTTGGAGACTTAGGATCTCAACAGGAAATGCGAAAAATTGCTTACGATCTGCCGATAGATGAAAGAGAATCAACGAGTTTTAGTTCTGATCTGAGTAGGCTCAACATAGCCCAATTTGTGCTTTATCTCCTGATGCCATAAACGAAAGCAGATTCCCAAACCCAAACCGCCAAACCTACCCCTCTTTCTTTTTTTCTTCCTTTACTACTCAGGTCAGAGTTACTATTCGCATTAGGGTACCAGAGTTGCTGATTTCCCCCCTATGACCACGACGTAAACTCTTTACACCTACTTGTATGTTTGCCTACCTGATCGCTTTCGTCACCACGATCTGTTATCGCTAGTTTGTATTCCTATACTAGTTTGTGTTCATGTCCAGTTGTTGCCTATATTTCCACTGCCTCTCTATTCCCTATTTGCCATGTATCAATTGTCTACTCTCGTGGCCTCTGTCCTTGATCACAAAGTACCTTTGGTGACCACAATCAAGCTTAATGGTCAAAATTAAAATCTACCGTCTCAAGCATTTCTTTTGTTCCTTGGTTCACCAGAAAAGTTGTCACATCTCATCTCTTGTACTCCAGATGGCAAAGATGTCACATTCTCAGCCTCGCATAAGGATAACTAATGTCGTAATGACTTGGTTCCTTAACAGAATGGAGCTCAATATTGCCTCCAATGTACTTTTACTGCAGACAACAAAGGAGATCTCAAATGTCCTGAAGTAGATGGATGCTCAAGACACCAATATCTCCTGTGTCTATGAGCTCTATAATATATAGTTCTTCCTGAAGCAAGATGCTCATCCTATCAATGAGCATTTTCCTTCCGTCAAGGGGATGCGGGATGAGCTCTGTACTTATCAGCCAGTAACTCGCGATCTTCAGAAATAAAAAAGAAAAAATAAAGAGTTCAACATTGCTAAGTCTCTCCAAGACTTAGATGACAATCTCAACCATATTCATGGATAGTTGTTGGTTGACGAGACAATGTCATCTTTCACATGTGCCCTTGGTTGTGTTTTACACACCTTTATGACTCTACACTTGATTCTACTACTGTTGCTGGGAAATCGTGCCCAAGTTGCGGGATAGGGTTCCTGTCGAGGCTGAGGATGTGGTAGTGATTTAGGGGGAGTTTTCAATGATGTATCCATAGGCTGGGGAGTATTAACAACAATCCTATTCAAGATTGATGCAATTATTGTGGGAGGACAAATCGCATCTCTAAAATGTGAGGACTGGTTTAATAAAGCTAAATGGGCAAATTAAGTGACTTCTGATGATAGAGAGATGCAATTTCATACCTCTAAGACTGATGCAGTGATGATCTCCAAGGAAGGAATATGAGAAATATATCAAAAGGCATTCATCTCATACTGCTACCTAGGCTTCTCCCTCAGGCAATTTTGTGTTTATTGCTTCCCAAGAAAGGCTGTGGATAATAATTCTAGGATTACATCCTGTTTGTAGGAAATTTGAAGTAAAAAGACAATGAAAGAAAAATTTGACTTGTATTCCTCTCAAAATCAATTACAATTTGGATTCCGATTACAAAAGAGAGGAGAATGAATTTGATTCTTCCCTTTGTTTAAATCTGGGTTCTTCACGGTGGCAATGAGATGCCTCCCTCGAATGCTCGCGTCGAGTTTGCTTCTCGTTGACGATCCGAACGTCTTGATTCACTGGAACGTGGTCTTCTCCTCACGATTTGACGCTGTGGAGAACTTGCGTGGCAAGTTTGAAAATAACTCTTAACGAGTTGATAACTCTGAACGAGTTGATAACTCTGAACGAGTTTTAGAAGAACTTGCCGAGCAAGTTTTGAACTCTGATCGAGTTGATAACTCTGAATGAGTTGATAACTCTGAACGAGTTGATAACTCTGAACGAGTTTGAAACTCTATGGAAGAGTTGATTTAAACCGAAAGTTCGGTTAACAAGCCAAGGGAATGCTCCTGTGGTCGATCGTTGCTGAGGATGAACGTCGATCTCCCCCTTGCTGCCCAAAAAGAAGGATCCCAGAGCCCAGAGCCAAAAAGCCGCAGATCGCTTCTTTGCTGCCCAAAAAAGAAGCCCCCGAACTCAGTTGAGTTTCTCACTATTTATAG